CGAGGCGCGGCTGGGGCTGCGGCTCCGGCTGCGGGTCGGGGAAGCGAGCTCGTTTCCAGGTTCGCACTGCACCCGCTGCGGGGAGGCCCACGGCTTCACCATTCTTGACTTTGGCCCTGCTGCCGCGGCCAGCACCTGAGACCACGTCCGCCCCCGCCTCCCACCCGCTCCAGCTTGTCCTCTTGCTGCTTTTCTGGGACCTGGGCCTCTAGGTGGCATCTGGCTGTGGGCATCCTGCGTTCTCATGTTTCCGGGATGCCCGGATGTTCCTGACCCGACCCCCCCACCCCCCACCCTGGCACCTCCTACTCTGAAACGTGTCCCGGTGGGGCAGCTTCGGTGACACTACTCCACAGTGTACCTGCTGGCCCCACGTGGCCTAGTCTGTCATTAACACGCTAACTCCAGCAGATGGATTTACCTGTCTAGGACCTAGAGGGCCCATCTGAAAAATGGGGATGAGCCTGCTTTATGTGCCAGGGTTTATGGTGCCAACCCTCTGGCAGTGGTGGGTCACAGGTCAGCGGGCAAGAACTGACCTCTCGCTGTGTGGAGAGTCGCGCAGGGAGTCTATGGAATCATGGTAGGGGGGCACCGCAGCTCTGCGCCGCTCCTCCAGGCTGTAGGCTGCTGCCCGCCGCGCTCGGGCCTCCACACATGCTGGGCTGTTGCATTTGCTGGTGCCCACTGATGACAGCATGATGCCCGACTGGGAGTCGGAAGTCAGGCTCTCAGAACGTTCCAGACTCCACGTGTGGCTCTCATGCCTGGGGAAACCAAGTGAGGAGGGAGTTGAGGAGTCAGCCCCCACCATTTTTGTTCCCTGCCCTGTGCTACCCTGGGACCCTTGTGTTGTAAAGTGCCTGACCCCGACACTGGGAGGAGAACAAGGCTCCTGTCTCATCCTTCCTTCCTGCAACCGGCCTCTACTTCACCTGGAGTGTCTTGTCTTGGATTACCCTGGTCTTCAGTCACCTGGCTGGACAGTACAGCTCCAGTTGCCAGTACACGAGGGTGGGGGGTGAGGGGTGGGGGCAGTGGGAGGGGCTGCCTGGTCCACGGTCTCCCTAGGGGAGGAAGGTCCAGTGCATTATTTCTTGAGTTTTTGTGCATCTGTGGACAAGCCTCCTGCTTCTGGGGAGGAGAAGGCCAAGGTGGATTAGGGATCTGTGGACAAACTCGGGAGATGTCATCAAATAGCTCTGGGTAACGGAGTAGGTACTTTAGCCCAGATCAGTAACGAGGATCCCTAAAAGGAAAGGTCCAGTGGGGTCTTGGTGATGTCACTGTCCCTGACACTGATGACCTGGATGAAAGCTACTGGTGGGCTTGGCTTGAAGCCCCCACCTCCTGCTTCAGCCCAGCCTGGCTGGGAGATTCTGCTTGTGTCTCCAGGCAGGTGTGTGGTGCCTGTGAGCCCAGGGTGCTGGGTGGTGCCCACCTGTGGCTGGAGGTCGGCGTGGCCGTGGAGCAGTGGTGAGAAGGGGAACAGGAGTGGCTCCCGGAGAAAGTGGTCTCAGTTTCCCTCCGGATGACGTGATCCGTGGCTGGCACATTCTTGGAGATGTACTGGAACAGACAGTTGGTGGGAGTTAGTGGTGGAGTTGGCCCTCCTGCGGGACAGGGAAGCTGAAGGTTGGGGAGCATGGCCACTGGGAAGGTGACTCAGTATTGGGGCAGGACTGCCTCCCTCCACACCCCGTCTTCCTCAGGAAGTGGACAAAGAGGCTAGTCACCCAGGTGAGGCGAGACGAGGCAGGTGGAGTGGGGGTTGGGCTGCCTGCTGCCCCGCTATTTTTCAGGGCCATGAGGAGGCACCCAGGGGGTGGGGAGCACGACTCACATCTGCCATCTGGATCTCCTCGGGGTCCAGCCGGGGGTGGCTGGGCCCGTTGGCCAAGCTCCGATTCTGATGGGCTGGGCACATATTCTGCCGGAGGTGGTTGTGCATCTGCTTCCGCTGCTTTCTGCAAGGGGACAGGCGGGTCAGCTGGTACACCCTGCACCTCGTATCCATATCTGGGGCTCTCCTGGGGCATCGCTCTACCTCTGCCCTGGGCCTGTTCTGTCTGGGCTCAGGCCACCCTCAGTCACCACTCCTGCAACCCTCACCCGCCTGGACTGAGTAGGACCTGGGCACAGGGGTGATGGATGAGCGGGGGCTCTGGTGAGAGAGCAGACACCACTACCTTCTAGTCAGCTTGGGCAGCTACTTCAACTCTCCACATTTCGCTTTCTTGTTGGTAAAGTGGAGCGATCACTTACTCAGTCCAAAGACTGTTGAGGATTAAGTGCAGAGAAAACGTTCTAGCACGGTGCTGGCCACTCACTCGGCTCCCCATTTACTCACCCATTTGCTCACACTCACTCACTCACTTGGTGTTTATGTGTTTCTACAGTGTGCCAGAATCTGTTCTGGACTGCAGAAGGACACAGATCCAGTCCTCATGGCGCTTACTGGTGACTAGGGGAGGCTGGTGACACACGCATAAGTAAACGAACGAGATGCTTTCAGCCAAGTGCTGTGAAGAAACCAGGCGGCTGTGGCCAGGGAATCAAGGCCTGTGGGCTACCTGACTTCGGCGTGTGTGAAGAGCTCAATACATTGGTGGCCAGCAAGTCTGGTGATGTCATCCCCTTGGCCTGCCCCCGCTTGGCCCTCAGAGTGGGTTCTCTCGCCGCCCTCTCCTCCCAGGGCTGCGGCCTTGGAGAGCTTGAGTCTGACGGTCGGCTGCCGGCTCTGGCCTCTGGGCCTCCCTGCATACTGCTGCTCACCCGCTGTCTCCTGCTCAGGCCCTGTCTGAATGCGGCGCCCAAGAAAACTCTCCCTGCTCTCCAGCGAAGGGGACACAGCCCTCTCGCTCATGGCCCGGCGCGTGTGCCTGGTGCTGCGGCTGCTGCTCACCGGGCGCCGAGTCTGCCAACGGAGGGGCAAACGCGGTGGCGAGTAAACTGCCTCTCTCAACTCTTGGCCTCGGTTTTCCTTTTGGGCTCCAGTCTCCCCTTTGGGCTCTTTGAGTCCTATCTCCCTCTAAGTTTTCTGGTCCTGGACTCATCCAGAGCAGGGCTGCTAGGGCCTTAGATACCATAGATGGGGCAGCAGGAGTCAAGTGACCTGGGGGCTCAGTCCCCCAAGCGTGGCTCTGCACAGACCCTCACTCTTGAGCTGTAAGAGGACGTGATACGCCTCCCATTTTCCTGGACACCTCATTGGCTCCTGATCTGCAGGCTAAACTGAGACCCTAGGTTGGCAAATGGGGGCCCCGCCCTGCCACTTGGGTCCCAGCCATCTTTTACGTTCACGCCCCTCTTTGCTTAACCCCAGCCGTTCCCAGGAATCCGCTGAGCCACTTCAGGAACACAGCTGCCGCTGCTTTACCCAGCTCCCCAGCTCCCTTCTGACGCCCCACTCCTGTGCTGAGCTCCTGTCCCCTCCTCTGCCTGGAAGATGGCCCCACCCCACCTTCTCTGCCTTCTCAACTGGATGGCTCCAGGGAGGGCCAGCAGCGCCTTGTGGGGTCTCCTTTGACCCTGGCCAACAGCTCTCCTCTCTGCGCTGCCCTCTCCTGCCCAACACTGCCTCACGCCTGCCTATGACGGGCTAGGCGCACCCCCAGCCCCCTTCCACGTGCACACGTGCTAGCACGTTCCCCACTTATAGATTAGCACCGGAGAGGCGTGGCAATCTGCTCGGGGTCACGTGGGAAATGCCTCAATCGGACCCGAACCCAGGTCCGCCTTCTTCCAAGGCGTGTGCTCCTGACTGGTCTTGTTCAGCCTTTCGGGGCTCATCTCCCCTACCTCCTCCCCTGCTTCCTGGCCGAGTCCTTTGGCCTCACACCTGCTCAGAGGTCCCAGAGGGACCTAGGTGGGGCTAGGAGGGTGTGGAGAGGCTGAGGCAGGCGTGCCGGGTGGGGGGGAGCCTGTCCTCACAAGAGCGTGTGGGAGGCCCACCGGGCTGGCTGTCCAGGCGAGTGCCACTACTCACTTGGTCTTACAGTAGGCGACCACGCAGACGATGCCCACGACGAGCAGAGCCACGCAGATGCCGGTGATGGTCAGGACCCGCTTCTGGTATAGCTCCTCGGCTTCTGTAGAGGCAGAGGGTGTGAGGAGCGCGGCAGGAGGCAGGCCGTGGAGACAGTGGTGCAGGGCCCCCACAAAGACCCAGACTCCCTCCAGTGGGGTCCTGCTGGACTCCCCCAGCTGATCCCCTCCCGCCTGCACTTTCCTAATTGCCTTCTGTGCCCCCAGACTCTGCCCACTCTCAGCTCTGGGCACAAGCAGCTACCCCGTGTCCCCCTCCCCAAGCCCCACGCCCTGCCTGGAGCACCTGAGTAGAAAATGAGGGGCTGTGGACTGGTGGAGGAGCTGGGGGTGTTGGGATGGAGGTGAAGTTCCCGAGACCATGGAGGAGGAGCTGAGCTGGGCACAGCCCCGCTATCCCACTATGGCCTGGTGGCTGCAAAGACCCGGATGGGCTGGGGAAGCCGTTCGTCGTGAGGAGGGATGGGTAGGCCCTGGGCAAAGTCTGGCTTGCCTGCGGAATTCTCTAAATGGCCTGTTTGGGCGCGGTGACAGGACATCAGACCAGAGGCTGGGCTTAGTTGGGATACCAGTCAGCAGCAGGACAGAACACATGAGGCCTAAGGAGGGGTGCCTGGAGAAAGGCCTTTGCTTCTTCCTGCAGGCTGGCAGGGCTGTGGCCCAGCCTCCCGCCACAATTTGTGGGAACCCCCGAGGGGCAGCACTGTCCCCTGGCACCTGGGACAGGCCTGTGCTCAAGGAGCAGCCCTATCCTTCCAGAGTCACTGATCTAGGCTGGGCCTCTAAATCCTCAAACAGACCTGACTATTCCTCCATCTCCCCCTCCTTGGTGGGGCAACCCCTACTCTCCTAACACAGAGAAAGCCAGAGGAAGACGAGGACAAGGTGACAGCGCCAGGCACAGGCCTACAGCCTAGACCTCCACCCTGACCCCACCTGCATGCCTGGCTGGCCCCCCCCCACTGCCTTGGGGGAGCCCCCAGAAACTTCCCAAACACTCAGGCTTCCAGAACCTTCTGTGGCACAGGGACACATGCCAGCAAACACCCAGGGCCACACCCCGTCCACACACACGTTCAGGGCTGTGGCTCTCTGACATGCAGACCCTTCGCAAGCACACGCTCTGACACTTGTCCAGAGAAGCGTCCGTCCGGAGGCGCACACACGCTGTGGACACACAATCGTGTGGGTTCTTACACAGCCCCCAGCACAGACCCACCTCGGCTCTGTGTCTGCGTCCCTCCCTGTTGGGCGAC